GTTAGCCAAGAGGAGCCTTTCTTAGTAGATGTCTTTTTAATCAGGTTTCACAAAAACATAGTGATTAAACATTTGTATAACTTACGAAGTGAACACTCCAATAAGTCTAGTACCCTTTAAAATATTATGTTAAGTGAATAAAGGCAGACATAAATGATATGCATTTTATAACATCATTTATATAAAATGTACAAAATACGCAAATCCATACAGACAGAAATTATATCAGTATTTCCCAGTGGCTTAAAGTCTGAGGAATGAAAATTGACTGAAATAGGACTCCTTTGGAGATGATGACATGTTTTAAAATTAGTGATGATGGTTGCATAACTCAGTGAGTATTTTTAGAAAACCACTAAATTGTATATTTAAAGAAGTGAATTGTATGGTGAACATATACCGAAAAAATAACGTTGCGCCCCAGCCAGCATGCTCAGTGGTTAGAGCTTTGGCCTGCACACCAAAGGGTAGAGGATTCCATTCCCAGTCAAGGGCACCTTCATGAGTTGCAGGTTCTATCCCTGCCCCTGGTCGGGGTGAATGTGGGAAGCTACCAACCGATGCGTCTCTCTCACATCGGTGTTCCTCTTTCCCTCCCCTTCCCTTTCCCTTCCACTCTCTCTAAAAATCCATGGAAGAAATATTCTCACCCCTTGGGTGAGAATTTAAAAAAGAAACAACCACCAAACCAAACCAAAAAGAACTAATGTGTTTTATCTTTTTCAGGGTAAAATAAATATTTTTCAGACACAGAAGGAGAAACATTCATCGACATCAGAACTGCACTATGAGAAATGTTAAATGCAGAGGGAAAATAACACGAGCAGGCAATGTGGGTCTAAACAAAGGAATGGAGAACACTGGAAATGGCAGTGCGTGGGTTCACATGTAGCATTTCTCATTATTTAAATCTCTTTACAATATGATTTATTTTTTGAACAACAAAAATGTATTTTCAGGATAAGTGAAATGTATGACAAAAGTAGCTTAAAGGCTTAGAAGAAAGAAGTGGAAGAGTATTATTTTGAGACTCATACCATACGTGAAGTGCTATATAATATGCAGAGGAATAACATAATGAGGTAAGAGATACGCTATAAACACCGACACTGCTACTAAAATAATAAACCCATATTAACAGCTAAGGTAAGGAATAAAGGATAATACACACCCAATTTAGAAAGGAGTAAAAGCAGCTTTTGTCGCAAGTAATTTGATGGGCTGTCTAGAAAATCTGATGGAATCAGCTAAAGAGCTACTAGAACTACTGAGTTTAGTAAGGTTACAGAATATAAGTGTTTTTTCAATATGAACAGCAAACTCAAACTGAAAATTAAAATATCCTTCAAAATAGCATAAAATATGAAATAGAGGGGTAAAATGACCAAAGTTATAGAAAACTGTCCACTGAAAACTACACAATTATATTTTTTAAAGAAATTAAAGGGTGCTTAAATAAATGGGAAAATATCCCGTTCATAGGTCAGAACTGCATTGTTAAAATGTCACCCCCCCCCCCAAA